AAATATGTATATTTATTTAATACACCTTCGTGCAAAAGTGTGACTGTAATTGTGGTTACGCATGAAACCGCAACAAATAAGCTGAAGGCTTATAAATTAATGCCACTGAACTGAAAATGCTGGAGCTTTAAAATGACAATTTAATAGCAGCAGTGGGCCACTTTTTACAATCCATTTCGTTTTTATTGGCATTGCTTTGTATGCAGGTGTCAAGTAATTACTCACATACATTTACATATGTATGTATGTAGGTGCGAAATCTGTTGACAAGTAGGGAATTCTTCATAGATGTACATATGTATATTTATGTAAATGTATATTTACGAATTTAAAATGCATATTAAATTGATCACTTAAACATGCTCAGTCTACTTGTACTAAATAATAAATTAAATTTCCGAATTTCCAATTTATTGGAATTTCTCTGATTTTATTTAATTATTTATAGTTCGATGCATTAATCTCAATTGTTTGCCTATCTGAATGCTTTATTACCTAATGAAATTTTGTCGAAATTAATTTTCAAATTGCATTTTTTGGCATGTTATCTCATATTGAGCTATACATATGAAAAAAAAACTAAGGAATTGCTTTTTCTTAAAACTTCAGAACTTTTACTTAATTTTATTTAAATAATTTGATAAACCATTATAGGTGGAGATGTGCTTGCAATAGAAAATAAGTTCTGGAGAGTCAAAGTTGCGTGACTCCTTTTTTTTAGATTCTGAAACTCGCGGTTTTTATAGTATACTGTGACTGGTTCTTTGAAAAGTTACAGAGCGAAAAATAAGTAAGAAAAGCTACAAAAAAAAAATAATACATATAATATCCAAAGGCATTTTTTGTTCCTCAAATCAAATCTGCACCGTTCGTTCGTCGATTTTCGAAAATGAGGTGTCAAATGAAAGAGCTTGAGCTGTAGATGCTAGGACTTACCCTTGAATTTTGGCAATTTATGTTCGAACATTTTTGTTTATATGAAAAAATGCGGGCCACCCTCAACAAAAAATAATGATTGCCAAAAAACAACGGTAAGTCCAAGAAATTTCGCACTTTGCTTTATTAAATTTATTGTCTAAAGACGCTGATCAAAAAGTTAGAAATTTTGGTCAAACTTTGCAGAATTCTCATAATTTTTGCACAAAGTCTGAAATTTTAACTGATAAATATCGTGTTTGTTAAGTAATCGGCTGTGCTTTCATAAAACAAGTAATTTTTACCAAAAACAAAACAAAACCGACTTCAATTCTCATATAAAAATATATATATACACTTGTGATCAGCTAATTAAGCCAGCAACATTTTGATAAATTTTGGCTATCTTTCTAGCTCATTATATAACAAACACCACATAAATCCAGATTTCAAACTTTTTGCAAAAATTATGAAAAATCTGCAAAGTTTCAGCTAAATTTTCAACTTTTTTTCAGATTTTATAGATTTTTTTGAGTATGCAGTTTAATAGCCCATTAAATTCTAGGGTAAAAATGTTCAAGTCTTAAGTTGCTAAAATATCGCGTTGATTTTTAATATTTTTTTTTCTGACTTCATGACGCATTTTTTTCCATACAAAAAAAAAATGTCGAATTTATTTTGTATGGAGAAAAATTTGTAATGCACTCAGAAAAAAAAAATTGTTAAGACTTGCACATTATTGCCCTAGAATTTAATGGGCTATATAACTGCCTACCCAAAATGTTTCTAAGGAATCGAATTGAAAAGTTGAAGTTGAAGTGTGATGAAAATGTTTTGGTATTTCTTGCGTTTTCCCGAGTTCTATATGAAATTGCATAAAAGAATTATGCTGGTATTTGCTGTTGAATGAACTATGTTTATTAAAAAAAAAACTATAAAAAATTGGGATGGAAAATATAAATAAAGAAAATCGTCAAAACGTCAGAGTATTTTTATATTTGACGCAGACTGTATATTTCAAGGTTCAAAGAATATCGTAAAATCGGTCAGATGAGTGTTCCACAACTTTTTTTTCTAATTTCGATAATCAAGAGTTCTAGAAATATGCCCATTCATATTTACATGTACATATATTCATTTTAATAACGCGTTTCCACGGGCTATTCGCTGTTAGCTTATATGGTTGGTATCAACGACTGATAAATTTATGCTACTTCTGTGCATTAAAAAATTTAGGTAGAAAAAAAGAACTCTGGAAGAAAACGCAGTATCCATTTTTGGAATACAAAAAATGTAAAAAAAAGTACAGTACGAGCATTAAGTGTGATCAAATGCGGGGTTACATGGTGTATGAGTAACATCATTTTGAAAAAGTGGACAAGGCACGTTTTCACCTTCAGGTAGCGATATTAGTTTGATCATGGTTAATAGGAACATATTACTAAGCTTTTATCCATATCTTAATGATTGAACTTGGAAATTTTTATAAGCATCGCATGAATAAACCGCATACGGTCAATACTACGTTCGTACTTTCATAAGCAACGGTGACCTTGAGAATAAGAATTGCTTACTCAACTCAATTATTGGCATGCCATCCATCAGTTTAATCATTGACAGCAACCATATCATATGTAGGTACATGCAATATGTACATCAGGGTGTTCCAAAAATACAAAAATAAATTACTTTTCAGAATTTTACTGCTGGAAAAAGAAAATAATATTTTTTTTAATTTTGACACTAAAACGCCGAAATATGTTAACTTAGTTTTGGGTCGTACATTCCGGTCGTGTATACCGTTTTTCTAGATCAGGTCATTTTCCAAAGAATTTTTATTTTAAGTTTGCATTGTGAATGAAAAATAGTCCAAAGTTGTAACAGGGAAAATTAAAAAAAAATAACATACTCGTATATTGCGCGCGAGTAACATTATTTTCTGCTCAAATCTGAACAAAAAAAAATTAGAGACCGAAAATAACCGTTAACTATCCCGACTTTTAGATCATCGCAAAATCGTGATTTTTGGTTTTTATTTTTTCGATCAAAAATAACCGTTCGAAATGAATTTTTATTTTTTCGGTCAAATTTAAACGTTATTTTATGATTTTTATATTTTCCGTCACATGTGACCGTTATTTTGAATTTTGAATAATTTCGATAATTTTTATGACCGTATTAAAATAAAAATAAATATCATAAAATAACAGTTAAATTTGATAGAAAAAATGGACACCTAATTTTAACGCTTAAATTATGATTTTTATTATAAAGATCATAATCGTTACGGTCCCTGAAAAAAAATCATTACGTATTTTCATTTGACCATTCACAGCTTATTCATTTATCCATCGAATTCTTCGTTAGTAGCTTAGTATTTTTTTAAAAGAACAAGCTTTAGTGCAAATGAAATAATTTACAAAAATCTGTTATTTCTTATTTTTTTCTGTTCAAATTTGAGTTTTTTTATAGAAATGAAAATATGTTGGGAAAATTACCGGATCCAGAAAAACAGAATACAGATTCGAAATATACGACTCAAAATTAAGTTTACATGTTTCGGCGTTTTTTTTTTTAGGTAATTTAATCGAATACAAATATTTCTCCTCAAAAATTTTTAAATAATAAAATTATGATGCATATCTACAAAAACAAATCTTTTACGAAAATATAAAATAACTCATTTGTATATCTAGGAGATAAAAACATCGGTTATGAAAAATATTTAGTAAAATGTTAATGTTAAATATGCATCACAATTTGTTTCTTTAAGTAAAATATTCTAATTCGATCAAGGAATATTTATTTTCAACGATTTTATGCAATTATACGAAATAATGAATTTACTTTATATAAAATACATAGGGTACTTCAAAGCTCTGCCGACACCATAAAATTTTAACAAATTTCAAAGTAAACAATAGGGTCTCCTTATTCTTAATATTCTTCAGTTCTGTGGGATGGCTAGAAAAAAAATCTAGACCACCCTAGTCTTTGCATGCATAAATACTAGAGCTCTGCATGATTTGATTCAAATTTCAAGTTAAACAGAGTTTTTGTTTTTGTTGTTAAACAGAGTTTTTGTTTTTGTTGTTGTTTTTATTTTAATTGTTGTTGGATATATTTATTTAAAAGAAAAAAAAGAAAAAATAATAGTAGTTAATCACCAAATAGGTAGATAAAAAAAATAAAAATTTATTAAAAAATAGAGCTTTAAAAAAATTAAATTAATTAATATAGAAATTATAATTAAAAGAGTAAAAAATGTATGTTATATTGATACTAAATTTAATATATATATATTAAAATTCAAAATAAGAATTTTGCAGTACATATATAAATTGTTAAATGTTATTTTTATTCAAATGTATTGTTTTATTTTATTGAAAATTATATTTGAGTTTATATAGAAGTTTTATTTTTAGAGCTATTGTTATTTATTGTTTTTTTTTCTCCTGTGGAGTTTCTTTGATTTCTGATTATGGTGAAACTGATGTTTTAAGGATTCTCCTTGTCATTCTGGACTTTCAAGTTCTCAAAGCTACAAATAAAAAAAAATCAATAAAATTCAAAGCCAAAATCGTTCATTCCATTTGAATATGAATGATTTATTTGCGGTTTTGAATGGATCCATGCAGACGTCTAATACATACATACATATGTATATAGCTATGTACATATGTGGCTAACCAAATAGACAATCAATCAACACATTTTCGAAAGAATTTTTGCGAATATACGCACAAAAGAGTGCTTTTTCTTAACCTACACTCGTATACCATTGTGCTGACAGGGACTACTCCTCTGCTGTAGGTAAGCTGCTACAACAACAATGCACGCCTTACTTTTCCACAAACACATTTACCTACTCCCTCCGGAAGCCAGTTAGTAAATCAACAAAAATATCAGTCACTCATCAGCCACAAACAACATAAGTCACATTTACTTAGTCTCAGCCCCGTCAACACTGCACGCACAACCTTAGCAACCAACCAATACAATTCAGCTGTTTGCCTTTTGCTCGCCTTTTTTGGACTTATTCGCAATTTTCTCTTAAAATCTAATAATAAATCGTATTCATTAAGGTCCTACAAAACGGAAATTGCGGAAATGGAGACTGTGCTGTAAAAGCCCACAGCACAATCATCAACCACCGCCTGTTAGTACCATCAACAGCATCGCCACCGCCAATAAAGCAACACTGCATCCATCACGCCGAACACACTGCATTTGGATGAAGCAAAGTATGCAAAACGGATGAATGATGGTGCCGCCTTCCAACCGATATCGGCACAAAGCGGAAGTAATCGATTTCAGTTGGATATGAGCACAATATGCTAATATTATGTTGTATAAGGTAGGAATTCTACTGTGTAAGTATTTATGTATGTACCTACTGAGATACTATCTGCATTAGAGTGGTCAAATTTTTGTATGGGGAAAAAAGTCATCCTAGAAGACAAGGCACCCCCTTAGTTTTTTTTTCCTTTTGATATTTGTAATTCGGGGTGCTCAATGAACTTGAAATGCGCTACTGGATCGCTGCGAAACTGCCAAAGTTATTGGTGATTTTTATAAAAAGCTACTGTTGCCATGACAACTGAAGCTTGTGATATTGCTTTTAGATAATTTAAATTTGAAATGCTCTTAGGTTACTTAGCCAATTGTTTGATTAATATGCATATGTACACAATACTTCTAGAGTCAAATATGAGCATCCTCAAAATTTATACTTAGAAAAGTAAAGTTTAATACCCAGCCCCCTATCCGGGAAACATTTTTTTGGACCACTCTAATCTGCATGCATAGATAATTGGCGAAAAATGAGAATGCCCAGCAAGCGGAAAACAATACAGCTGTGGGAAATCTGTTTTTATGGGAGATAAGTTAACATTGAAAATAAAAACTCTAAATGAGGCCTTGAGCGCAGAAGTGGCCCGCCCCAAATTTTATTTTTTTTTTGTTCCTATTAAAATAGTTTCAAAAGTGATAAATTTTAAATTTTAAAATTTAAAATAAAGGTCGCTTATTCCTTAATTTGTTGGTAAGTTATGTATGTAGCTATGTGCCTTAAAATTGAGAAATAAGCGGCTTTTATTTTAAAATTTATCACACTTAACACAATTTTTAGTAGGGAAGTACAAAAAAAAAAAAAAAATTTTGGGTTAGGCCACTTCTGCTCTCATGGCCTCAAATCTTAGCAAGCATACAGATAAAATGTGAAATTTTGAATAATTAATAAGCTGAATTGAAATGAACAAAAATAATAGCAAAAGCAACAGCAGCGCATCAAAAATACCATTGTATGTAGTATTTATATGTGTGTGTATGTGCGTGAATAATATTAAGTGAAAAATTGCAAACTAATGAAACTATTTAAAATCGAATGTCGAACTTAATGATTACAAAATAGTAGTAATTAAGTGAAATAAATTTAAATTAAAAATTAATTGTGAAAATAACAAATCATAATTACTTAACACAGAGAGACATAAATTAAATCAAAATAGTTTTATTGACAAAAAAAAAAGAAGCGAACAATAAAAGGCTTAAGCGGGGTGCATAGAAAAAGAACAGTGCAATGCATACATACATATGTACAGACATACATTGGTATGTAGATAACATTTACACAGAAGCACACAGAAAGTGAAAATGCATCAATATAAATCAAAGATAATTAAAACAACACTCTAAACATCCGCTAAGCATGCCCCACACGGCCACAACTTTTAAGCTGCGCACACCTACATATACGCACACGCACTAGATAAGTCCACCCATAAGCTTTATAAAATGCTATTATGTGTGAGTGCAGCTTAAAAGCTGTGTGCGCTTTACCGTACCACTTCCATGCTAATATGCAGCAAAACCACTAAATTACATTTAAATAAATTTAAAAAAAAAAGAAATGAATTAGAAATAAGCTCAAAACTGGCTCAACTATAACTAAGCTAAGCCCCACTTACACTCGTAAACGCCTCAAATCTATTATTAGGTGTAAAAACATTTCCGAGAAAAGTTTAGTTAAATAAGAATTTATGAGCGTAAGCTAAAAATAAAATAATGAAAGCACAATAAGTAAGTTATATGTATGTATGATTTCACGTTAGACATTACTTCAAAACCGTTTTTTTGTACCGAAGTGAAAGCTGAATGAAGAAAATTGATAATTGCAAAAGCATCAAGTAAACAACTTAAAAAGGGTACATATGTACACGTGTACATATTAAAAGACTCAAAACAGGAGAAATCGACTTATGTATGTATCTATGATATAAAGGCATGACTTCAAAGCAAAATTGACAAAGAACTACAAAAATCTTGGCGAAGCAATTTTAGAGAAAAAAAAATTCCACTAAATACGTTAGAAAAATCGTATGCTTTCCAAGCCCCAAAAAACTTTCTAAGCTCAAACGGCAGCACATCCTAATAGGATAGTGAGACGCACCGAAAAATAGAGAATGATTTTTTTGCTTTTGCCGACTGTATCAAATAGTAACGTCGTAACGTCCAAAATGTGGAACACGGACAGCATTTTTAAGCTTTTTGTAGATTTTATATATGTACTAGCTTATACCCGTGGGTTTCACCCCACATTTCTATTAAAAATATCCAATGTAAATAAAACAAATTAAAGTTTTTTTAAGTGAATTTACGTATTATTTAAAACGATCGGATATACGACATTTTTTGTCATATTATTTGGTGCCACGCCCCATTTTTCGTTATCCCCAGTTTTTTTGGAGGTGGTAGGGATCGATCTCATATAACCCCTCACCAAATTTCAGATGTCTAACCTAAATACTTCCAGAGATATGGACTGTGAAAAATTGCATTCGTATGGGAGGTGCCACGCCCCCTTTTTCGTTATCCCCAGTTTTTTTGGAGGTGGTAGGGATCGATCTCATATAAACCCTCACCAAATTTCAGATGTCTAACCTAAATACTTCCAGAGATATGGACTGTGAAAAATTTCATTCGTATGGAAGGTGCCACGCCCCCTTTTTCGTTATCCCCAGTTTTTTTGGAGGTGGTAGGGATCGCTCTCATATAACCCCTCACCAAATTTCAGATGTCTAACCTAAATACTTCCAGAGATATGGACTGTGAAAAATTTCATTCGTATGGAAGGTGCCACGCCCCCTTTTTCGTTATCCCCAGTTTTTTTGGAGGTGGTAGGGATCGATCTCATATAACCCCTCACCAAATTTCAGATGTCTAACCTAAATACTTCCAGAGATATGGACTGTGAAAAATTTCATTCGTATGGGAGGTGCCACGCCCCCTTTTTCGTTATCCCCAGTTTTTTTGGAGGTGGTAGGGATCGATCTCATATAACCCCTCACCAAATTTCAGTGGTCTAACATAAATACTTCCAGAGATAAGGACAATGAAAAATTCCATTTGTATGGGAGGTGCCACGCCCCCTTTATATATCAAAATATTTTTTACCCTGTGACCATCCCTGGAAGATATCCAGTGCGTGTGTAAAATTTGGTTACGATCGGCTTATTCGTTTAGGAGCCAAGTGTGTCTATAGGTACATACATAATTTGAATTTTATATATATAGATATAGATGTATGTATACATGTACATTAGTGATGGTCATCAGAGAAACCATTTATTCCTGGCGCGTCCATGTTGTGTAAATCTATCTAGTTATCAAAAAGCTCTGTACGCCTTTAAAACTTTAATCCAGCGATGGGCAGGGAGAGCTTTTATTCTTCACGCGCCTATACAAGATGTATAGAAAGCTCAAGAGAGCTTTGCTCACGGGCAAGACTCAAAAAAGGCAAGGCTCAAAAGAGCTTTGCTCACCGGCCTGGTCGCGGGCTAAACTGATGCCCATCCCCTATCTAATGCCAATTTTGTATGGCTAGAGAGAAAGCTTTTACTCTGCGCATATCCATACAAAAGGTATTGTACTATTGAAACCACAACAAATCTCTGCCCACGGGCGAGTACTTTTTCAAACAACTAATTAAAAAAAATAATAATGAATAATATTTATTGTGATTTTTCTTGAGAGCTGCATTCTAAGCTTCATGTATGAAATGTTACAATACAATTTTCGCACGGCTGTAACTCGGTTTTTTGTACTCGAAGTACCTAATGAAGCTAAAAACAAGTTAAAAGTTTATAATAGTTTGTATTAATAAAATTTAAAAAAAATTGTCATTATTAAGTGCTATTGTTTTTAACCTGTTATTGACTATCCGAGTTAAAAGATTGAAAAACTATTTAGAAGAAAAGTGCTACCTACATTTTTTTATCGAGAGTATGTTAAGAATGCACAAATTATGCTCACTAGTAGAATCGCTATTTATTTGTGTATTTGTATTTACTAATAGTAAAGACATACTACATGCATGATATTTATTATTACTCACGCTAAACACTTTCGCGCCAACAGCCCCGTTTCTTCGTAGTTGCCTAAAGTTGATTTGCTCCTCGGCTTTGTAGAGCGTTTTTCTCGCTTATTTTTTATTTCGAAAATGCTGTTTAAAATTAGTATAAGATTGTTAACTAAATTAATTAACCCACAGCCCGAAGCAAAAAAAAATCTTTACACTACCTTCTTGTTAAGGTAAAATAGCTAAACATATGAGACATTTTCTATAAATTAACTGCCTTGTCAAAGCAAAGTAATAAAAATTGTATCTATATATGTATGAGAAGGTGTCAAGAATTTGACTTTTGTGTATTATGAATTCACTTTAATAGGGCTGCTAATCTACATGCTAAAAAAAATTAAATAAAAGCATGTGCACTCACACTTTTTTATTGATTTGGTAGTATCAAAAAAACTGTTGCGGAAATTCCACTAGATTCGTTAAGGACTGAAATTTTAGGTTGTATAATTTTTTTAGTCTTGGATCGAATTTTTCCTCGGCTGATTTAAACATTTACATCATAAATGCCTTATTTGCGTATATATGTATAATAGCGTGGGTCGAAAATCCGCTTTTTTAGAATTTTGATTGGTAAAAGCAAAAATATGGTTCATTATGCTCTAAAAACACTCCGTGTGAAAGATGACAATTTTTGGTCGATATCTTAGGCTGGCCCAAGTCCATCTAAGTTAAATGTGCTCAAAAAATAAAATTTAATAATTACATTTATTAACAATTTTTTTTTACTAAAATTGTAATTATCTTCGAAAGTATTAGTCCTACTTAATTTGGTATATGGACCTTTTTAGGAGAATCGAAGTAAGCTAAGAATTTTTTTTTAGCACTTGAACTTTGATGGACTTGGGCGGATTTTCGGCCCACGCCAATGTATAAGTATATCGTCACTAAACACGAATAAAGGACGCATTAACGAAAAAAGACGCGTAAAAAAACTTTTTTATGCGTCTTTTTGCGCGG